AGCCGCCGTCCAGCGCTATGGACGAATAAATTAACTCTAAACATGTAAATCCTGTTTGAAAGCAAGTTTAGGCTCTCGCACAGTTGCTTACGCTTACAATTGCTGCCTTAACGCGAGCCTGCCGTGGATATTGAGTATTTCTTTGGATTATTTATTCCTATCTACTTACTTTATCAAATGTAGGGAACCCAAATGGAGTTGAATTCCGAGGGACCATATCCAAGTTCAATAGCGAAAAGAAGAATAAATTTTGTCGTTGCTGGTTTACGTTATCCATAAAACGCAAAATTAGGCATCTTCACGTCGTAGTCGTGCAAAAATGGCAAAGAAATGCAAAAATAAAAGCGTGATGCACATGCGAAGTTGTTGTTTTGCTTATTAAACCTATCGTTTTGTTGAAGTTCGTAGTCATCACGTGGACACGCATGCTCGATGGAAAAGCAAACGGTTGCTTGCAGTGGTTTCTCTCCCTTCGTAGCGTAACGTCCGGCCTGCAGAAACCACGGCTTGCAGGGTAAGGAGAACGCAAGCTAAACTCAAACCGCGTGTCATACCTGAGCACGAGCATTTAGCAGAATGATATTAGATTTTTGTGTTTGGGTCAAGTGCCGGACAGAGTTACGTCATACCGCCTGAGACGTCTCGTTCCCAGAGTCCTCCGTTTTCTTAGCTTAGATACTGAATTCTCTATCGAGCTCTCATTTTACCGTGCCCTGGGTGCCAGAGACTTTTCTAGCGCGGTTTCCGGTTTCTGTATGTGTCGGCCTTCGGCCAAAACCGAAAATTCCCGCCGCACGGGAGTAAAACCTCTGGTACCCAGGGTAATTTTACCGCAACTCTTGTCATGATTGCTGAGAAGTATGGCGACACTGTGTGAGAAAAGAAATCAAGATGAGCTCGATTGAAAAAGCGCCAAGGTTTCAATGTGAAAAAAAAAATCCTTCTACACTAGCATACAGGAGAGAACCAGACGACTGTTCTGATCCTTGTTTACCAAGCGTTAATTATTTTACCTGACCAATATACATCAACGAATTACCAAATGATAGAATCAACACAAAAAATCTTAGAGAAATTAATAATTAACCATGTACCAAAAAACTATACTGTGAACTACTGATTAACCTACGATAACTCAAAGATTTAGAACAGCTTTTTATTACCGACAAAATGCGGCCTGCAACGAACCACATAAGCACTGATATTAAGAAAAAGGGGCTTTGCTATGTGACCGATTATAGCTTAATTGTACTAAATACTAATTTTTACATTTTAATATATATCACTAGAAAATTATTTCTTAGTTTACATTTTATTTATACGGAAAATTAACTGGTCCACGAAAGCTGAAACTGTAAAAATATCTATATATATATATAAATGTAGTTAAAATATAGTTTTACGCAATTCTTTGCTGTAAGGATCAAATTAGATCTGTTTTTCTTTTTAATTGCTGAACTTCTCGTCTCTATTGAATCCCTGTGGATCGCATGGTGTGGACTGAGTGTTTTCTTGGAGAAGCGAGGAAAAGCAAAATCACGGAAAGTTTTGCTCGTGTTTCAAAGTTTTGATAGCTTTCCTTCTCTGTCTTTCATAAAGATAACCTGATAAGAGAACTAGTTTTATCGGATTATTAGCTAAAACAAAGCACAAGTTGATTAACTTGATACATTAGGATTTTTAAATTTGAGCAGGCTACAATCTTAACGCGTTGTGACTACTAATTATGTTTTTAGATTATTATCTTACTCTTGAAGACTTATTACTCAGATGACTGACAGTCAAAATTGCACCTATACTGTACGCCTGTTTAATTATTTAAGCCTGGTTATGATTTTTTGACGGAGTGTGCGGTCACTGTGCCAATCAGAAGACAGGTTCGGGTTGCAATTTATTAAAGACAGGAAACAGACTCCCAAAAACACTAGCGCCACTGTGGCCTTCAACGTTCGTTTTTGTTATCTTAATCAAGTATCTCGCATGCTTATTTAAAAACAAAACTGTGAGTAGAATTTGGTGACCTTGAAACTCTTCCCTTCCTGCGGCGTTCTTTAACGTCTACAGTCATGGAAAACCATGAAGACATTACTTCATCATATATCACCACTTGCGTTTTGAACGCTTTCTTGTCCTACGCTGCTGTAATGCTAAACTGTTTGACGATCTACGCCTTAACAAAACTCTCGTCATTACCAAGACCTTTAAGAACGCTGCTCTTAAGTCTGGCTGTTTCTGATCTGGGTGTTGGTTTGATGGTGCAGCCTTCGTACATTGCGACTCTTGTCATGGAAATGGAGCAAAAAACTGAAAGCAATCCAGCATATAACATAGTCTTCAAATTCTACGCCTTCACGGTGAATTTGTTTGGTTATGCGTCTTTCTTTGGAGTGACCTTTTTAAGTTTAGATGGATTCATCGCTGTGTGCCTATTTCTCAGATACCAAGAACTTGTGACCCACAAACGTGTTGTCGCTGTATTGGTTTCAAAGTGGGTTTGCAGCGCGGTTTTATCGTTTCTGAGACTGTGGATCCCGACACGAATTTCTTTTATTATTTACACCATTATTTTTCTCTCTCTTCTCTTGACTACAGCGCCACTTAATGTCAAGATTTTTGTTGCTATACGTCGACACGCGAACCAAATTCAGGCTTTACAAGTTCAACCAACAGCTCAGAGCAGCGATGCTAACATGAGAAACGCTGCGGGCTGGAGAAAATTTGCAATCGGAACATTATTGGTATATCTTGCGTTTTTAGTTTGTTATTTGCCGAATATCTGTTTTTTAATTGTCTATCTTATCTCTGGTCCAGCAAGCTCCAATACCGTTGTTTTGGACCTGTTCAGTTCGACTCTGTTATTTCTTAATTCAACCTTGAATCCTTTGATATACTGTTGGAAAATGAGGCGAATTCGATTAACCATCTTGACGATATTACGGAACATGTTACAAAGGCTGACTGAGAATTAGCTTAGAGAAAAATAATACTGAACTTTAAAATTTAAACACAGATTTTCACTTCCAGGTTAAGTATTATAAGTTAACAGAGTTGGCAGTCTGAAAAACTACAAAGCAATGCATAAATACCTAAGCAAGCAATAAAAACTTAAGCAAGTTCATGTAGCCTACAGCAACCATGCAACTATTGCCATGAAGGACCAAAAAACTGTATTCCTTTAAGATAATTGCATGTTCGAATATATGCGCATAAAAGTAAGGACACATAGCACTTCCCGGGAAAATAAATACGACCACAGGTGGTGTATTGAACGCCGCTTCAAATGCCCATGAGATAATCATGAGATTTTCCTAGAACTACCTTGTATCTGTAGCTACTATTTTGCGTTTTAGTCAGTTAAGTTTTGACTCTATTATCATTTTTAATTTTAACGATGATAGACAACTATCATCACAGGACAAGAGCTTCTGAGATTTCTCGCCGGACAGCACTTGTCAATCGAATGCTAATATTTGTACCATAAGTATAAATGGCCCAATATAGAAAACAGGTGTTTAAATGGTAATAAAAAGAAATGTGTGTTACTTGCCGCCAGGCCGACCTTGGCCGGCAAATAACGATTCTTCGTAAAAGTTACTGCAACCTCCAATAAAAGCGTGACTGTGCGATGTAAAACCGAAATCAAACTTAACAACATTTTAAAACGCTAATCATTGACACAATTAAGGCTTTACATGATTTGCGAGTCATAGTGGGCAAATCGTCAACTGTTTTTGGGTCAACAAGGTTAAAAGAAAAGTTATTAGCTTTTCAAAGCTACAGAAAAAAACTGAGATTCCCATTCACGACAATTTTTGTCGGCAATGATTAATTCAATCCAGCGTGATCAAATATGCTCATGCAAAAGCTTAATAGAATGATCTATTTTAATAAAGCCAATAGAGATATCCAGCTCGCTCGTAGCATTAATTTACTCGATCACATTTTGAAAAATTTGGATCAATTGAAGTTTCTGGGTACGCATCTTTACTAAAGCCCTTGGGTAAATGAAATACTTTTCAATACCTGTTATGACCCTTAAGCAGCAAGCAAAATTGTATAATGTTGTTCACTTAATTCATGTTTGCCGGAACGAAAAAGCTCTGTTGAACTTTGTAAGCGAGAGAATAAATCTGTTTACAGGATTAACTTACTCGGTACATCTTATATTTTAAAAAGGTGCCTTTCAAACTTCTAAAACCATAGTTCATAGGCCGTATACTTCCGAGTTCAAGTGCATATCTAAATATCAATTATTAACGTTTCATTTGAAGATCTTGAAGTCATAAGCTATGAAATACGTGCGTTGTCAAGTTCGCGATAGCCGAATTAGGTCAAAAATGTCCTGAAGCAGCACCCATACTTAAATTTGAAACCTTAAAGAGGTGCATCACTATACAATACGAAAAATTGAGAAAACCAATATGGCAGTCTCAAAGTGCCCTTGTTTGACCTTAGCAATATCATGTTTAAATGCTAAAATCTCATTGGTTCCTAGCATCAATTGATAGTGCGTCCAACCTTGTGAAATTAAGCCGGAGTCACACCATACACGGGATTTAAAGGTGATGTTAAACGAGACGATTCACAACGACGATTTTTAGCTCAACGAAGCGTTGCAACATTGTTGCGAAACGGTTCTAATCGGTTACAACACTGTTCCAACATTGCAACGCTGTGTTGCACTAAAAATCGTCGTTGCGAATCGTCTCGTGTAAGATCACCTTAAGACACTTGCTGCAAAACAAGTTTGCCTTGGCCGGTAAATTCGCAAAAAGTACAGATTCTCTCGCAAAAAGTAAAACTACCCTCTACTTTCTGCATCAACTTTTCGCAAGCTTTTCAACCCGTTTTGCAGCAATGCCGCAAAACAAAGTTCACGCTTTTGTTACCAGTTTTATCGTAACTTTAGCAAATAAGGCGCTAATAAAAGGTGCAGCTGCCTCATTCAAATGGTTTGAATTTTGATAACACAAGTTTGGAAATGTCACATTGCAGTGTAATCAGACATCTTTCCATCCTATATCTGGGATGAGACTAACATAGTGAAGCTCGTGCACGTGACCCAGCACAAGTCGGTTGCTACCAGTAACATCATACTCTGGGCAGATCCATATGTCATTGTGATGCGGCAGACTGTTGATCACGTGGATGCACGTCTCAAAACAGTTTGCTGCACCATGCAGAATCACGTGATCACCCCATGTACCATCGGTCATCATGCTTGCGAGGTACGCTGCCCAAGATGAGCATCCATCCACAAAGTGGAACAGCTTTGTCCCATCCGGCTGTAAGAGAAAAATGGGGGGAAATGCGTTAGTGCACGCTACTTTTCAGGAAAATTTGTCGTTGTCAACAGCATTTAAAGCAGACAACAGCACCAACACTAAGTACCCATCTCACTTAGAAAAATTCTCCTCAAAGCGTTTTCACATGACACCACGCCCGCCTTATTGATGCTCAAAAACAATAAAACGTCTGCCACGTTAGTAACCCAAAGCAATCCTATGAAAAACGTACTTTTGTTTCAATACACTTGCATAGCTGATGGTCAAGTGAGTAAAACGCTTCTACCCTGAAGGGCTATTCATCAAAGTTTGATAAGGCTCCACCCCGATGTCCAGTACCTTAACCTTTTATATACCATTTTTGACAAAAAATGTACTCCTCTTCGATGTGTTCAAGAAAAAGTGTGACAAAGTAAGCTTCGTCTACATTTAAGTAAGCAATGAAATGGAGAGAGAAGAAGAAAAACGTTATGCTCTACAGGGTGTCCCAAAAGTTCGTTCCTCTACTTTATAAGTCTGTACTTAGTATTTCAGTACGATTGGACTTGGTAAGAAAATCATTGAAACAAAAGTTGTGACTTTCAATCGAATTCACTATTTTCGTACTTGTTGTGCTATCTTTTGACTCGAATATTCGATTTGTGTACTGCCGCGCCAAAGGTGCGCGAGCGCGAGTATATTTTCCAGCCTTTTTTTGTTTGTATTTTATAGCCCGAATTGCTCGAACTCCTTCCTTGTTTTTTGTGAATATCAAGAAAGATAAACACCCTTAACGCAAAAACGTCCAGCTACGTGAGAGCATGAGCATGTATACTTCGATTTACTGGCTTATCTGTTATAGAAACTGCTAAAAAAACTGGAAAAATCCGAATGTTGGGTGGTAAATGATCATGGCGAAATGAAGGTTTTGAAGGCAAGAAACGAGGGGGAAGACCAAAAGTCCTGAATAAAGCAGGTAAAATAGTTTTAAGAAGACTAGATACAAAAAAGGAGACGTCTCCACAAGGAAACTCTCACATAGTTAGCAAGCCAAGTCCAGAAAGGGTCATGAAAAGCTGTTTAAAATGTTTAAAAAATTAGAGAACCCTGAGACGGCCAAAAAAAACTCTGCTTAGTCTGCCAAGTAACGCCCAGCTCGTCTCAAATTTGTAAAGAAGTACAAAAGCCTTACTGTGGAAGGGATGATTATCTTTTTCGGATGAGTGCTCAATATTTTTTTCAGCTGCCTAAACTAAGCAAATATTGTTTGGGGGCTGAACTGGCTCCTGCGCACAAGGTGATAAAAAAGCTCAATATGGATCATCTGTGGGTCTACACGCTGTATTCCACTTCATGCCGCAACGGCTACAGAATGTTATAAAAAAAACAAAAAGGGTACGCCAATAACTGAAATTCTGAATACATGTTCTCGATAGTGAAATAAACAACTTCTAGAAATTTCAAGTAAAAATAAAGTTTTGATCAAAAGTTATAGTGCATGAAATTAGAGGAACGAACTTTTGGGACACCCTGTAGTGTGAAACAGAATGATGGAACAAAATACAAATTTTGCCACCATGGTTAAGGCCCACCCCTGTTTATAAGATATAAAAAACGGAAGCTTGACGACCGAAAAGGAAAAAAAGATAATGTTCCCTTAAATGCCTCCACGTCCGTTACTAAATTTACACTAGAACTGAACGGAATGCTGTCTGTCCCACCATCATTCAATCCTTACGTTGCTAGTGTAGGACAAATAACTAAGACACTGACAAAGAATGATAACACACTAACCAGCTTAGAGTTTTCCTTAAGGTATTGAACAACGGCTAAGCGTAACTCTTTATGGGAGATTTTAATTCCTTTGATGAGTTCAAGCTGCTCTGAAAGCGCCAAAAACATACAATTTCCTTCTCCTTGATTATCGGAAATCACGAAACCTTTATCCAAAGAAATTCTCTTTAAATTCAGCGAGAGCTCCGTTTTACTGGTCTTCGTGCGTGCTTCCAGTTGGATTTGCTGAAGTGCAAGGAAAACGTGTTCATCTGTAAATGATAGAGGGAAACCGATTAAAAAGAGGTCACTTTTCACGTTAGTTTAATAGAGGATGGTACACTAATACAAAGCTAAAAACACCCGACAATTTCGTGCGAAGACGTATTCCGGTTAAATTATCGTGGCTTAAACTGAACAAACTGATAAGCATACTTTCCTCCAAAAATAGCAGACAATGACATCACCTGGGAACTGTCCTGTTGAAACACCTTCTTCAAAGCTGTTCACTGGAAATGCATGTTCCTGTGGTTTTCCAGTACCTGTAATGTTCAAATAGGCGATGAAGTAAAAAGAAAGGTCAAGGATTACAACCTCAGTAGCGCACCGTCCAACGTCCCCTACGCGACCACACAAAATGAGGAGAGTTAGGGGTCCAATTGTCGGAGGTCTTGCGAGGAGACGTCTGGACACATCCACTTTTTAAAGAGAATGTGTATATATAAATCCATGGGGTTTGACAGAAATATAGCGCGAGATTCGGGAAAAAGCAAAATTTCTTGACGGGATACGGATTTGACCGCTACTCGGGAAGCGGGATTCGCTAAAATCGTGGCGCAGGATGCGATATTGGCAAAGAAAACGAACGGTATTCGGGATAGAAATGTATACGGATCAATGACAGTAGTTCGGGATGCGGGATCGTTGTGAAAAAGAAGCGGGAATGCGGGATCAGGACCCCCATCCAGACCCTTTACCACAAGAAATGTAAATTGTCGGCGTTGGTAACACAGCCGCATTTCCACAACCTTAAACATGCATCATGTAAAATAAAGGCATAACAAAGGACAATCACACTGAGATACACATTCGAATTCAAATTTGAACGTACGTTACCTCCTTACCGTAAACTATCTTCCATATCTTGTCAACAAGGGTCTTACACTGTCTTTCCCAACTGAATCTCTCTTCGTAACATCTCCGTAGTCTTTGGATGTCCTCAAGCAATTGTATCCTGGGTATTTTACGGATAGCAGCAATTTCCCTTGCCCATTCCTTGGGGTCATCTGAATCAATCACAAATGAATCTCCCTTTGGAAGATCACGCAATGTTTCTCCAAACCCAGAGTTTCCACTTACCAGAATGGGAAGACCAGCTGACATAGCTTCCAGTGCTGTCAGGCCAAATCCCTCAGTTCTTGAAGGCATGATGGCCAAATCAACTTCACAAAACAACTCTTTCAATCTTTGCTTGTTTTTCATAAATGATCTGACAATTAGTTGGCTTCTTGAGATGCCCGACTGGAGTAAATTATCTGCGACTTCGTCCTGCTTTCCATCAGGAGCACCAACAAAGATCAGACGGTATGAACAGTCCTTCAATTCAACAATGGCTTTAGCGGCAATGTCATATCCTTTGAGACTGAAGTCTTTAAAATCACCGCGACCAAATGCTAACACTTTGAAATTCGCACTCTCTTGCGTAGTACGTTTAATATCAAAAAACTCTTCAAAGGAACCTGGTATTAACTGAAAGACTTTTCGATGATATGAACGCAGTTTGGACGAGAATGCTTCTGTCAACTTGGGCCCAACTGCCAGAACGAGATCTGCAATTTGGCACAACTCAACTTCTGCTCTGTTCTTTTCTTCGCCTTTGGCGACGGCGCCAGGATAGTTCTTATGCATTGCCAGCTCTTCAGGTTCAGTGTGCACTACCTGCACCCACTTACAGCAATGAGACTTTCTGATGATTTGGGCCTGTCTACCAAGCTTTGCACCATGGCCAATCACAACCTGAATGTCAAGGTCATCGGGTGGAAAGCACAACCAGTCAAGAGGATCACTGAAGCCAGGGAGGCGCTCTGCTTCCCTTATAGCAATGTTGTGACTCCTGGCAGTTCTCTTGTCATCTCCACTACACTCAAATTCAGGCAGAAGAATAGTGACTTCTACGTTTGAGAGTTTTGCCAAATGTATGGCAAGTGCTCTGTTGAGTGTTGACAGACCACCCTTAGAAGATCCCCACTCATTAGCCAGAAGCGCAACTTTCAAGATTAAACATTCTCGATGTGATCTTCGTGTCACACCAGATGAGGATGAACACGTTTCCTGTCAGAAAACAAAAAGTTGAACGTTTTAAGGAAAGTATGGGGCTGTGACTTTCCAAATCAAAAAGTACATTTTCCGTTGGCAGAAGAAAAAAATAAATAATTAAAAGATATCACACATATATGAATAGATCACTAAAAATGATCCTGGCAATAAGGTTGTTAAAATAAAAAATGACATTTGTAAATTGCATAAGTAATTCGACACAATTGCTATCGGTAAAACAAAAACTAAATACGGGTGAGGTGATGTATATACATATCAGTTCAGAAGTCCAGAAAGGTCCACTTTTCTAACGTACAAGTGAAGAGAGTCCTCAGTCTCAATTCCCTACGTACTTTCCATTATGGAAGAAAAAAACGCATGCAGCAGTTCAAAAAAGTACCCATCAAAATTCTTACCATTTTATCAAAATCTGGAATAGTGATAACCTGCCCGAATGGATCTATCAGCCACTTAGCAGAATGACTGTGCTGTAGTGCTTGATGATAATGCCCAGATCATGATAGAAATTTATGATGGTGGTAAACTCTTTCTCATCATCAATGAAACACTTCTCCTTGGCATAAGTTTGAAGTTCCAAGTTCCTTTGATTCAAATGATGAACGTTCTTGAATAGCAAAGAATTTTTGACAACCTTCTCAAAGTTTAGCCACCTGGTCTATAAAAACAAAGTAATAATGCAAAGTTTCCATGTCGCTGAGTAGTGATCCTGTAATGACATATGGGGTGAGGGGGTGCAGAAGCAAAACGGGAGGAGGGTAACAGAAATTCTGGATGCCAGCTTCTATTAGGCCACCGTCTCTGCTTTCGATCTTGGCATAATCCAAAGTTTGTGGATTTACGAAGGTTTTATGAGCATAAACATGACCAATATTAAACAATATTTTCTAGTTATCAAGATATTTGATCTTGACGCCTTGTTGGTTATTATGAATGAGAGGCTAAAAGTGACGACCCTTAAATTGAATAGAAAAGCCATCGGGCAGAAAATCGGCAAATACCCAAACCAATATCTGCAGCTCAAAACAAAGAAGACAACTTGTTTTCCGAGTCTCGTGTTTTATGACGTGACGGAAAATTCAAATTGAAATTCCTTGGTCTTTCAAACTCTTCATTTAAGGGAAGTTGCGGTCAACCTTTTATACTTTATTAAAACGTCTTCCGCTTTATAAATAAATACGTTTACTTAATATATGTTTAGTATTTCTGGCGTAAATGACGTATAATTTGCGATGTTTAGGGGAACTGGAATCTATAATTACCACTCTAAAGATTGCGTTAATTAGCCTCAGTTTAGTCTTTGTAAGAACACTAGAACTAGCTGTGAGTATTATCAGCATCAGTGCTTATCAATTCGTTAAAATTGACCAATAAAAGTGGCCATGAAAGAGATCTTGAGGTTATAGTAACAAAACAAAACGCCTCATTCGGCTTAAGACAATGTATCTCGCGGCGGGATCTCACTTAAACGCCCGAAACAATCGCGTGGTTTTGAACTCAAGAATGGCAAGAATGGGTTGTAAAATAAACAGTCGTAAAGACGTTCAGATGAAATGACAAGTATTGATTCGAAGTTCAAAAACCTTAATTTGAGTAATTTGCTTGACTTTACATTAAAGGACTGTGAAATACCATGAAAATTGGTGATCGATCATGTTGGATCGTAGTGAGACAAAAAAAATAGAACAAATTCGACTGCTTTAAAAAATGAGTTGACCCTTCAAGCAACCACAATTTCCTCCGTGAAATTTTAAATTTATTGTTATAATAAGGTTGTCTATGGCTTTTGACATAGTCGCTCTCCTCGCCAAGGATTGTAATCTGTGTTTAATCTAAATTAACATGGTATTTTTTTAAAGATTATGTTCATGGTAGAACTTACCAGAAACCGTTGGTAAAGGCAAATTAACGCGATGTATTGTTTTTTGTTAGTTCAATAACCACACAGCAGTTCAATAAGTACATAACAGATCAATAACCACACCAGTAGTTCAATGACCACACATTAGTTCATTGAGCGTAAACTACATTTAGCTGCGGGAAAAATAGCCACAAATGCGTTAGTTATTTTTAATAAGAATGTACAGCATTAAGTAAGTGGTAAATACTCATTTAGCTATGGTACGAGAACTAAATAGATAAATAGTCATGTTACACTGTTATTAATAAGTTCTAGTGAGCTCACTAATATAGTCAGGAACATAGACTGATGTTAATTTTAAAATTTTTGTCTCCTCAGAAGGTCTGTCATTCTCATCAGGGGCACAGTGAACAGACCTGGAAAGAGAGTCAGCGCCGAAAAGGGAAAGCCCGGACTCGGTCCGGAGAAAACTTCAAATAAATAACCCGACAATGCCCGCGTTGATAAAGCAGAAAAAAAAAACAGTTAACGGTGGATGAATCTTTGTTGCGGTCAACTTTTTATACTTTATTAAAACGTCTTCCGCTTTATAAGTAAATACGTTAATATATGTTTAGTATTTCTCGCGTAAATGACGCATAATTTGCGATGTTTAGGGAAACTGGAATCTATAATTACCACTCTAAAGATTGCGTTAATTCGCCTCAGTTTAGTCTTTGTAAGAACACTAGAACTAGCTGTGAGTATTATCAGCATCAGTTCTTATCAATTCCTTAAAATTGACCAATAAAAGTGGCCATGAAAGAGATCTTGAGGTTATAGTAACAAAACAAAACGCCTCATTTGGCTTAAGACAATGTATCTCGCGGCGGGATCTCACTTAAACACCCGAAGCAATCGCGTGGTTTTGAACTCAAGAATGGCAAGAATGGGTTGTAAAATAAACAGTCGTAAAGACGTTCAGATGAAATGACAAGTATTGATTCGAAATTCAAAAACCTTAATTTGTGTAATTTGCGTGACTTTACTTTGAAGGATTGTGAAATACCTTGAAAATTGGTGATCGATCATGTTGGATCGTAGCGAGAAAAACAAAGAGAAAAAAATTAACTGCTTTAAAAAATTAGTTGACCCTTCAAAAAACCATAATTTTCTCCGTGAAATTTTAAATTTATTGGTACAATAAGGTTGTCTATGAATTTTGATGTACGTGTAGTCGGCCTCCCTGCCAGGGATTGTGATCTATGTTTTTAATCTAAATTAACATGGTAGTTTTTCAAAGAGTATATTGATAGTAGAACTCACCTTACCAGAAACCGATGGTAAAGGCAAAGTATTAAAGTCGATCTATTATTTTTTTATTTAACCCCAAAACAATGGCACAGCAACGAATAATACACTGGAACGTGACATCTTTGTGTTTTCCAACTAAAGGTATTCAATGCATCATGTTCTAAGACCGTTAATGAGTGCATACAGGCTTAATACTTCATGGCTTTCTAACAACTGTTTGTTTGGACCGAAAAATCTCACAGCACTGATGAAAAGTCTAGATATTATAACTCAAAGAATAGCGGCGCGCAAACCAACAAACTGCACGTGGAAATGCATGTACAGCATTATAATATTCCACTTCAGCCAGCTTTCTAGCCAAAGAACAACCCTCTAGATGTATGTTTCTGGAAAAAAATCTTTAAAAGCTCTTTTACTTGAATTCTAGAGATACTCCTGCGGCTAATTAACCCTCCTCAAAAGTAATCCATTCATACTTCCGTGGTGGTCAATGTTTGTATACAGCCGCTCTGTCCTTGTACTACAAACGACCAATCGAGACACTACGACACTACGACACTACGACAAAATTTACCAGTTTCGAAATTGATTTTTCAACATTTAGACTAAATTGAAATCTTATCTGATAAAGGTTACTGTAATCGACCTAGAATACAGAAATTGCCCAGTAAAACCTCACCTTGTACATAATAGAAATCCTGATTTTCTGTTCTACACTTGTACCATTCTACGGTATTTACACGCCATTTGTATGAAACTGTGTATTATTGCTGACCGATTCGGAAATAGCTCGTCGGACGAACGACGGCGAATCCCGAAATTAAATACACCCACTCACACGCCTGATTAAAGATTCGGCGGGAAAGAGTTGGCCTTATTTCTAAACCGACAATCCGAAAAGCTCATTAACTGAATATGATATTTTAATGATCCATGGTTTTTTAACAGAAATTGTGGGATCGAAATGGAAAGAAAAAAACATCAAACAGGTTTAGCAGACTTTTCGCGCCATTCGACAACCAGATGAGGCAATTGGTCAGCGGAGATTCCCATAATTAAAATCATGTAGCTGTCATTTAAAATATCGGCATTTCTATTACATCAAACATTTAACTTCCGGGTGTGTTCTAAAATCGAATATTATCAGGATTTTTTGCTCTTTAAATCGTGTCAATTTCGTCAATTTAGTCTTTGTAAGAACACTAGAACTGGCTGTGAGTATTATCAGCATCAGTGCTTATCAATTCGTTAAAATTGACCAAAAAAAGTGGCCCTGAAAGAGATCTCGAGGTTATAGTAACAAAACAAAACGCCTCATTTGGCTTAAGACAATGTATCTCGCGGCGGGATCTCACTTAAACACCCGAAGCAATCGCGTGGTTTTGAACTCAAGAATGGCAAGAATGGGTTGTAAAATAAACAGTCGTAAAGACGTTCAGATGAAATGACAAGTATTGATTCGAAATTCAAAAACCTTAATTTGTGTAATTTGCGTGACTTTACTTTGAAGGATTGTGAAATACCTTGAAAATTGGTGATCGATCATGTTGGATCGTAGCGAGAAAAAAAAAGAGAAAAAAATTAACTGCTTTAAAAAATTAGTTGACCCTTCAAAAAACCATAATTTTCTCCGTGAAATTTTAAATTTATTGGTACAATAAGGTTGTCTATGAATTTTGATGTACGTGTAGTCGGCCTCCCTGCCAGGGATTGTGATCTATGTTTTTAATCTAAATTAACATGGTAGTTTTTCAAAGAGTATATTGATAGTAGAACTCACCTTACCAGAAACCGATGGTAAAGGCAAAGT